TCGATAATTTATAACTACAGACTTTTGGCAGAAGTGGTCTTCAAAGGTATTTCCCACCGCAATGTTGTCATCCAGGTAGAACAAATTTTCCACGATAAGCCTTTTAGCTCATTTTTTGCTCAAACGTTGCGGGTGCGTTACGCAATCCAAACGGCATACGTGTAAAATGCCAGCAAACCATTGTCTTTGAAGGTTGTCACAATTTTTAGATGTTCTGGAAACCTTGTATACCTTTGGCGGTATATATACTGTTATTGAAACTAAGTATAACGTTAATGCTAACGTCCTGGCTTGACTTTCCGACTACTTTTAATGGACTCATTGCCGAGGTCATTGCAATTATCTTTGATCATATTTAGAAAATGCCCTCTAGCGCCTTTATTGTGAACCCGACGCACAAAGTATACAAGCCTTTTTTGTAAATCTCATCAAGATACATCTTTTTTGTAATTAACATTTTTCACTCTGATGCTAACTTTTACAGAAAAATGCAAATTTAGAGATTTAGAAAAATAAACTAAATAGTTTAAAAATTCAAAACTTCTATGTCAGTGTAAGGAGTAAGTTTTATTAGGACTGAGAGGATCACGACTCCCGATTTCAGTCATATGGTAAAGAGTGATTTTGGAATTAATGAAGGAATATCCAGTTTCTAAGAGAGAGGAAATTTAATGAAGCGGGTTGAGCCGTCGCGTCGTGATGATCATGTAAATTTAAATGAATTAAGATCGGGATTGGCGTCAAAGCGTTGCTAAAGATTGGGTTAGGGAACCCGTATGGAGAAGTATCGGAAAAGGAAAGCGGTTAGGCAGTAATATTAGCGAGGTCAGTAAGCTTGCGGGTATCGTTAAAACAACCCAGTTTCAAGTCAGAGATCATTTTAAGCAACTCTTAAAGAATAAAATTTTTTCCCGTCTGTATGTATGTGTGTACGTTCGTACGTAGTGGGTACGAGTATATTAGGCATACTGAAACGAAAAATAACGAGCCGGATATTTGAAAAAAAATTTGGAGCGCCGCAACAGCATCGAACTTTTTTTTTCGAATAGCAGCCTAAAATTTTTAAAAAGATATTCGAAAGACCTTATTTTTCTGTGTACAACCTACAAATATTGTGCCAGGTTTTATTACAAAAAACTGAGAAAAAAAATGTCAAAATTAAAAAACTAAAATAATTTTTCGCCAAAATGGTTAGGTACTATGATTTCGTTAAAATCTTGCGAATGCACATTAGGCATTATAAATGCAATCAGCGATGAGCAATCGCAGAAGTTCGTTCGTTGCATTCTTTTTGGTTTTAATCCAAAGAACTAAGGTAAAATATCAATACCTATGTTAAATTATCTGTGTACATGTATATACAGGGTGTTTTTTTAAGATGGACCATACGACAATGTAAAGGCGTTGAGTTATTTAAAATGGGCCATAGGGAAATTTACATTGCGCCAATTGTTCTCAAATCTAGGCCTTGCGCTGAGTTATTTCACTGACAGTTCTCAATCTGATCCTTCAAACTGCATTAACGAAGCAGCAACATGTATTCCGCCGCTCGAAAAGGTGTTCATGTAGTACCTACATACAATTTGCACAAGAGTGGGCACAGTAGCTGAGTGGTATGCGAGCTATTCAGTGCCGAGTATCGGGTACCTATTGTTTGGTTGCCTGTGGAAAACAATTCGAGCACCGATTGTAATTTTATACGTTTATATCTCTTTTGAATAAATTTGTTGATTTAGAAACAATTTCTATAGTACTGTGGCAGATGATTCGCGAGGAAGCTATGACTGAAACAATTGATGCAATGTAAATTTCCCTATGGCCCATTTTAAATAACTCAACGCCTTTACATTGTCGTATGACCCATCTTTAAAAAAAACACCGTGTATACTGCAGTTTTTATAATGATTAACTAATATCATATCACAGATTTAAACACTGAAATCTGAGTTAATATACCGTAAAGAAAAGTAGAACCTGACACATCTATATTAACAGCTGCACCAGACCGCCGGCAAAAAAAAGGTCATTGCCAACTTAATGAGGGTGTAGTGCCATGTTAAGGGATAAGTTGTAAAATGTCATTCTTATGCTTAGGGGAGAGTGGGTTAAGATGGCGCAGTTGGTAAGATGACGCACCTCATAACTGCCTCATTTAATAGTTTAAATTTCGAATTGCGCGGGAAATTTCATTGCTTACGTAGCCAGGACTGTCAGTGCAAAGTTTCAACCGAATCCTACTACCGCTTAGTGTTAAACATGACGCCAACGTGATAGTGTGTTGATTGTTATTGTAGTGTTCAAGAAGTTTGTTTCCAAAAAGTAGCTTTGTTAACATTGTCAGAACTAGGGGATGGTATGTACTTGAATTGCATGTTATGTTTGTTAATTTAAGTAATTGCGGCACTCATAAACATTAGAAGAATTTGCTAAATAATTTTTTTTTGTCATGGCTACGCATTGGCAAAGATGACGCGTTTCATATTGGTAAAGATGACGCACAGTGGACCGTTGCGTTATCTTTGCCAGCAATTTTTTTTACCGAACTTACAACAATTGCTTTCGTCCTAGATGGGAAAGTACCAGAGAAAAACGGAAAGGAGGAACTTCAGCCAAGCTTCCCTTGACTCTGCGCTTGATGCTATAGAGAAAGGTCGTAAAATCCGGGCAGTTGCTCGAGATTTTGGAATACATGAGGCAACTTTGCGACGTCATTTGGGAATTAAAAGAAAAATTAAGGACAGGAAATCTGAGACACTAGGGCGCGCTCCAATTTTCTCTAAAGAACAAGAACGGGAAATTGCCGAACAAGTAAAATCTCTCGCAAGGTTATTCTTTGGAATAACGCCCACTGAGTTACGACAGGTGGCTTACAAATATGCCGAAATAAATCATATCAAGCATCGTTTTAATAAGGAAACAGCGATGGCAGGGCCAGACTGGTTTAGAAGTTTTCTTAAGAGGAATTCTGATATTTCTCTGAGAAAACCGGAAGGGACCAGTGTAAGTAGGGTGTCTGCCTTTAACAAACTGGAGGTTGATAGATTTTTTGATAATCTAGAACAAGTATTAACAAAAAACAAATTTGGCCCGGATCGGATATATAATGTAGACGAAACAGGGGTGTCTACAACACCAAAAGAAGTCGGTAAAAGGCTGGCACCAACTGGTGTGAAACAGTTTGGTACTATTTGTTCCTGGGAACGTGGGAAAAACATTACCGTGATCTGCGCTGTCAGTGCCACAGGAAACTTTGTGCCCCCCTTATTTATTTTTCCTCGACTGAGGATGAGTCCTCATCTCCAAAAAAATGGACCTTCTGGTTCTATTTATACGTGCACAAAAAATGGATGGAGCAACGAACAAGTTTTTGTAATGTGGCTGAAACATTTTCAAGCAAAGGTATCTTCTACTGTTGATAATCCAGTATTGTTTGTATTGGATAATCATTCCAGCCACATTTCATTGCCCATTTATGAATTCTGTAAGAGTCATGGAATAATTATGGTTAGCATTCCGCCCCATACATCACATAAGTTTGCAACCCCTCGACCTTACTTTCTTTGGACCACTTAAAAACGCATACAGCAGACAATGTAACCTATTTTTGAAGAGAAAAATTTCTAACCCACAAGAAGGAAACACATTAACTCATGATGTAGCCGAAATTTTTAAAGTGGCATATGAGCAAGTGGCAAATGTGGAAAAAGGAGTTTCAGGTTTTGCCGCCGCTGGAATATATCCACTTAATTCTGAAAAATTTTCAGAAGAAGATTTTGCACCAGCCGATAGCTTTATGAGTGAACAACCTTTAAAGGAAATTCAATTGCATCAATCACCATCATCTAAACATCTACCTCAAGAACTATCTCCACAACCATCTACAAGCACACAATCAGTGCCTTTGCTACCATCAACAAGCAAACAACCAGTACCGTCAGCAACAGAGCTTTATTTTATACCGGAACAAATTCCAATTTCAACACTTTTACCTGTACCCAAAGCACAGGCCAAGAAAATTGAGAAGAATGTACGTAAAAAGCAGCATTCAGAAGTCTTAACTAGCACCCCTTTCAAACAGAATTTGGAGGAAAAAGAAAATAAACGAAACCGAAAAGCCATGGCAGTAGCAGGGAAAATAAATGCAACCGTGAAAACAAAGAAGAAAGGCAAAGTTGTGAGAAAAGTTTACAAGGAATCTGACTCTGACAGTGAAATAAGTGTCGACGAAAAAGAAATATGTGACGACGATGAACTGGACGATATTAGCAATGCTTCTGAATACGACCAATGTATTATTTGTGGAGACACTGGAACAAAAAATGAAATGTGGTATAGGTGCACTATTTGCGGTTATTGGGCACACAGTGAGTGCAGCGGTGTTGACTCTCCTAAAGGTTTTGTATGTGACTTATGCCAAAATTGAGTGTTTTGTTTTTACTGTGTTTAATGGCATTATTACTTGAATTTAGCTTTTACTTTGTAAAATGAAGGTTTTAGTTGTTTTGTTTTATTTTAATTTTATATAATATATTTTTATTTGAGTCAATTTGTTAGCCTTTATCACCATAGTGCATTTTAATAAGTGCGTCAACTTACCCAAACCCCAAGGAAAAGACGACGCAATGCAATTTTTTCAGAATGTTATGCCTACCAGGTTTTTATGAGACTAAAAAAAATTATGTGGGTATATAATAATTACCAACACTGCCATATAGTTATTTAACGGATTTGGCATTGTTCGTGCAATAAATAAAAAAACAGTAAGCGATTCCTGTTAGGTGCGTCATCTTCAACCACTCTCCCCTACGTGCCGATTGAATTGAATAAGGAGCTTTGTGTTTGTTTACTGACTAGATAATAAATGAATTTATTGGTACAAAGTATTAGTGATAAAAACAAACAAAAGTAAAAAAAAGAGTGTAATTTATTTATAGATGTATTGATAATTAGAAACATATAAACACATTCTGTGATTAAACGACCATATTTTCGCAATCCGTAAAGGAATTGGTGCTTTTGTGCATAGTTTACCCAATATGTTATTTACGTCAGTTATCAGTTGTAAAAAAAGTGCGGTTGAGACGGGTAGTACCCTTTCTCCAGGGGTGTGAAACAAAAAACGCCGGGCATATGTGTGGATTAGCGGTCGATAGTAGTTCACCTGGTAGCTATTCGTAGACGTGTATAAATTGCAATCCATCCCATAGAAACGCATCAGTTCTTTCTTTCATCTTGTGCAAACAAGGAAGTCAAAAACGTTCATCATTTTCTTCAAAATGAAATTCTCAGTTATTTTTGTATTCGCATTGGTGCTCTTGTCCGCATTTGTAAACAATGCAGAAGCTAAAAAGAGGAGATGGAGAAGAATTGTAAGTATGATCTAACATTAAATGGGCATTAGTTAAATTTTTGATTCTTTAGGAAGAAGCTGGGAAACGGGTATTGAACGCAGCAGTACAGTTTTTACCTGTCGCCCAAGGCTACGGTGGAGTCGCAGGAGCCGTAGGAAAAAAGTAATTTATTAATTACACCAAAGATCATCTTAGTTATTACCTATATTTGTACTTATTGTTTATTCAATGTTTCTACCACCTTTTTGTAAATAAATTCAGTAATCATACTGACTTAGTGAAATTCATAGGTATATCAATCAGAAATTGTAAAGATCTCACCTACAAATGCTGCAACAGAAAAATGCGCCAAATTCGCTGCTTTGCAGTTTTGATGTGCATTACCGTAGTTTCAAAAGGAGCTTTGAAAAACTGTTCGATAATTTGTAACTATAGACCTTTCGCAGGTTTTTTATGTGGTCTTCAAAGGTATTTCCACCACAATGTTGTCGTCCAGGTAGATCAAACAAATTTTTCACGATAAGCCTTTTAGCACATTTTTCGTTCAAACGTTGCGGGTGCGTTACACAATCCAAACGGCATAAGTGTAAAATGCCATAATCCCGATCAGATCGTAAATGCGGATCTTCTGGAGCTATTTCTACTTTTCAATAACCGCTTTTTAAATCCAAGTCGGATAGCGTGTCAGGTGTGTCATCCCGAGAACGGTCCCTTCCCGAAAGTTAACGGATAAAAGTTCACCACCGAGACGGTTTCTTTGTCCCGGAATATTTCTATACCTCGACCCAATCTTCAAAAACGAAATACTGCCTTTACTGTATGTGCCCTCCAATCGTGACATAACAATGGTTTTACTTCGATCCGCTGTAGCATAGTCTCCTCGCTTAAAATCACTCTCGACGGACCGCACCCAAGTGGATAATTCATCCAGTTCCTCATGTAACGATTTATTTTATCCAGAAGCACTAAATCATTCACAAATGTTGGTGCTCTTAAGGCGTTATTCTTTTCTTTAGTGCGATCTAAATTAGAATACTGCAATTTGGTTTGGTCGCCGTCCTATCAATATCAAAGGGATAGAATGGAACGCATTCAGAGGAAATTTCTTAAATACCTCAGCTTCAAAGTTAATGGAGTATACCCCGAAAGAGGTTGCTGTCAAAATGCGTTGTTGGCAAAATTCAATATGGAAGACCTTGATAAAAGAAGAACCAGAACCAGCGTGACATTCCTATTCAAGATCATCCATCAACTAATTGACTGTGCGTGTCTGCTTCAAGAACTGCAGTTTCATGTTCCACATTTTTCATCTCGATCGTCCTCCACTTTTTATCATACTACACCTAACTCTAATATTCTTATCAATTCTCCTATTTACAACATGTGTAGCGTATTTAATAGTATTTGTGACAAATGTGACATACATAACTCTCATATGAAAGATATCTTAGACATTTTTTAATTGGCATTTTTATTTTTGTTTAGGCTGTTCTAGTTTAACATAGCTATAATTTTACACTTTTTTTTTCTAATGTTCATTTTAATTCTCAAGGATTTGATCTGTTATTGGAAGTTTTTCTTCTGTTGATCAATAAACGATTATTATTATTATTATTACAAAGCATTGTTATTGTTTGCGGTTTATTACTTGCTGAAAGATTCCCGTAACATTTAAAGAAATTTAATTGATGGCTCCACCTATTGCTGGAATGTGACAACGCCATTTTCAGGCGTTTTCTTGCCGTGTCGATTTTCACATTCTTTTCTTTCGTAAACCATATGGAGTAGCACTTCGTTTTACTGGACAAACAGCTGAAACGCATGGAATTTTAATTGCCGTCATCCATACAAGGTATAGAAATGGTTTACGCACCATAGGAATTTCAATGCTAACTTCTTTACATAGAAATATGTTCTCCCCTAATTAATTTAGAGCAAAGTTCTAAATAGGTTTCATGTGGTTTAAAAACTTCTGCGTCTACTACATGTCCTCATTTATTATTTTTCAATTCCGGAAACTGAAATAATTAAATAAATTACAACTTAGTATTTGCACACAAATCGAATTTTTGTTTCAATAAATTTCACGGTAAGAGTGATTTTTACTACAAATACTCGTGTCGTGAAATTATTGAAACCAAAATTTGATTTATAGTTGGAATTATAACATAATTTCCTTAAGTTTTCCGATTTCCCACACCTAAAAATTACAATTGATAATAGACGCAGAATTTTTCAAGCTACAAGAAACCTATTTACAACTTTAATCCAAATTAATTAGGGCAGAAAATATTTCGATATAAAGAAATTACCATTGAAATCCCTATGGTGCGTAAACCGTTTGTATACCCTGTATACAGGCTGATTCAAATTCGAGGGCCACTGGAGACGAAACGTCGGATATCAAAGGTAACCCCTCGGATATCTCCGAAAGTCGTCGGCATTTTTTCAGTTTCAAAACTGCATTTTGTTAAGCGGCTCTCGAATTTGAATCAGCCTGTATATTGATCTCCCGCGATTGGATTCATAATTTGGGGATTCCAAAGTATTATTGGACGGATTTCACCTATATAACTCCTACAGTGAGGATATCATTTGCGTTTTTCCTTTTTATCGTACCATTTGCATTTCGTTTATTTGGAGTGTACTTTTCTTTAGGTTTCGGCCGATATTTGTGTACCTCAATTTCCATCGACAATGGCTGCTTCATCTACAATTAGCCCCCTTATTTAAGAGGTATGTAAATTTTAGGTTTTCAAGGAAGGGGGTTACCTTTGATTTCTTTTAGGGTTTTAATTTTTAGTACCAGTTTAAAGACAAGTTCAATTTTAATTTTAAGTACTACCTAGTTCAAATTTATAAGTTTTAACGTTTTACTGTACCTAAAATTCTTGTTCGACATACAAGTTTGGTAACCTTGGATTAAAATCACCGATACCGATCTTTTCACTTGCTGATAACGAGCGGCCATTTTACTGTGAAGTGGGTCAACGGTTCATGAAGAACATTTTATTTTAAGATTTAATATCAGGATTCGATCCTTAACAAAGGAAAAAGTTCCGTAACCCTTTAACGTATTAATTCATTATTTTGCCCCTTCAGGGTTATATGCGATATCATTTAAATAATTTGTGAACGTCAATACCTATTCATTATCTTGGCCGTCTCGGTTAAGTTATGATCGAGTTTGAAACGCGAATGTTGTTGGAGATCACCAGTTTCTTCTGTAGCGCCTGGCATAGAAGCAGGTTGCGAGTAGAGCGAGGTCCTTCAGGCACTATTCAATTAATTTATTTACCGAGCCATGCGGCTTGTGAGGTTTCTTTTGATTGATTTCAGGTTTTGGATGCGAGAACTGACGTTAACATCTAATGTTAAAGGTAATAGTTTAACTTGTACCTGACCCTATACGTGCGAATTTTTGACCAGATATCAATTTATTAATTTGTGGAAAGTTGTTTTATGATTAGATCGATCGATCGATCTTTCTGGATTGGGAGTTTGTTGAACTGGGGAATTTAAATTAGAAATCTGTGATTACTACCTACCTTCGTATCTTCTCAATTTCATACGGGGAGAGTTAAAAAAGAATTTTGGCGCTCAACTATTAGTAAGTGCAACGAACTGCCGTTGTGGAAGATCTCAAGCTCTTATTTTGTTTTCCAACCTGGAGGTAGTTGGCCGTTTATGCGGTGGGTTTGAGGTAACGCAGCGCCAACTCTGCCAACCGTTATACTTATTGCTGAGATGAATAACTCCATTTAACTCCATCTTGAACCCGTATTTCGTCCATACTCAGAATAACATAGTTTTCAACGGTTTTCAATATCGGTTACCAAAACAGTTTCTGCCATACCAGAAACCTCCAAACGTAATCCACACAGACGTTTCACCGTGAATCTAAACAGCAGCTTTAGTCAGTGTCCTTAGCTTCCAATCAGTGGCTGATAATTGTTTTAACCAAATACGGGGCGCCATTATCGTTCTTGTCGTGCCGGTATCTACAAGTATGGGCACTTGTTTTCCATCCACTAAACACAAATCAAACTGTGAGTATTGAGTGCAGAGACAGGGACTTCTGGAGCATTAACGTAGCAGGTCGATGTGCACCCCCATTCATCGACCTTTTTCTAGTTTTCCTACTGTTGTTGACACCACTCTACAGGTCTCCCACGAGCTTTTCCACATCAATTCTGTAAATGCCCAATTTCACCGCAATTCCAACAACGGTCTTCGTCTTCATAGCTTTGGCAGCTTGAACTTCAGCAGTCAATAGTGTCAACAATTTGTTTTGAATGGTGTTCTCCTCTTTTACAGCTCCAACGCTACTGCTTTTCTTAGACCCGGTTGTACAGTTTAAATTTCAGTTTAGTTTAACTGACAGATTTCAGAGACACGATTGGTCAACTTGTGAAATATTAGCCAATCAAATTCTTTAACCCACAATTTAACTATAAACTAAAGTTTAAACTGACATTGTACAACTGGGCCTTAATCGTGTGGCTTGCGATGTTTCTACTTCGAAGGCTCGGGCTAACGTCAATATTTTAGGCGCCGGCACTGCTGAATAAATAGCTTTCCGGATGCCATGTCGTCCAGGTAGACTCAGGTAAACTCAGGCAACAACTCGATTTTCATTTTTAATTTCGTTAATAGTACTACCGATTTTGTGTAAATTTTATCGAACGTTCTTTAGGCGGTTTCGCATCGATTCCGAGAATTTGGGACCTGGGAGATTTCGTTTGGCGTCGAGGTGCGCGGGCGCCGATAAAAATTCGCCGTTTCCATACGGTTGGGGTTAGGACGTCGGGACGCCGGTTCGGGGAGATTAGATGATTGGCGCAACTTTTGGTAAGGGTAAGAAAATTCCCGGGGCAACCTACGGGGTAGCTGCCGTAAGAAACGAAAAAATCGAAAATTTTAGAAAAAAATTCGTAACTCTAAAACTAAGCCAAAGAACCTATTGGGGTTTTCTGAGATCTTGGCCGACGTGGAGGAGCGTATTTGTGCCGGGGTGCGATTAAGCTCTATGGTTTCGTTTGGGAACTGCGCGACCCGGAGTGTCGGTCTGCGAAGAAGGCGATTTTCGTATTTTCCAACTTTGAGGCCTTCTACCGGCCAAACCGTTAGAGTTACAACGAAACGTACAATTGCGCGTTTGTAGATCTCGACGAGATCTACGAGTCATCTTATCACCCCCGACAAGTTTTCCACGATAACTCTTTTATGGAACGATTCTTCTAGAAATGTGCGAAATTTTCCATTCGAGGAAT